ATTTGCTCTCAAATACAAACCCATTTCCTTTCAAAATTTAAAGATCAAACACCTCCTGGAACTTCATTTCTTCAAGCTATTTCATTAAAGAAATCATTATAAGTTCTTATAAACTATTGTTATGCAATCATATTTGTGATAATTCAATATATTTACACATTATTATGTGTTTAAAACCGTTAGGATACAACACCCTTCACGTATTCTAAACTTATCTAACCGAAATCACGCTCGAGGTGAGTTCATACCCCTACATTTTTTAAGACTTTTTCTATGTTTTCGGGGGGTGGGGGGGGTGTCACAACCCGAAATTTCTATCTTGTAAGTCAATTCAATCAATCAAAAGTCAAACTTGTTTCTATTACCTTTATGCTGTGTTAAGGGTCTGTTTAAGAGTTTCTAAGCCTAGTACACTCAAGCATTGTGTGTTAGGAAGTGTTAGCTTGAGATCATTGAGTTGAAATCGAGCCGGAAACACCCTCACAAGTAGTTCATGGCCGCAAACTAGGTTCACGGCTGTGAACCCATCTTGGGCCGTGAAATCATACCTTATACATGAATTTTGGCCATTTTTCTCTTCACTTCTCACATTCCAGCTGTGAATACACCACTTCTCTCTCAAGTACCATCATAGAAAGGGTCTCTTTTCACCTCAAAATCGTAAGTATCTCATCCCTTTACTTGTGTATACTTAGAAACCCCTTTGATTCCATATTGATTCATCACTTTTCATCAAGATCTTCAAAGTGTTCATAGGGCCATGAACCACTCTAAGGTCGTGAACCCTCCTTAGATCCAAGCTAGGGTCGTGAACACATCTTGTGTTCTTGGGCCGTGAACCCTCCAAGGGCCGTGAACACCCCTTGTTTGGTCGTGAACCTCTTTCAGCCTCTTACTTTCGATTCTAACACTTCATTGTAAGTGTTTCCTAGATCCTAAGGTTGTTACCTTTACACTTTAGTTGTTATAAACACTAATTTCATGCCTATATGTATCATTATATGTCATTTAGGACTTGTTTGTGCTTCGAGACTTCATTCGTGGAACTTATCGTCCTTATTCTAATCTTTAATTGAATCACCCACATACGGTGAGTTCATACCCCTATAATCTATCTTTTAAATGTTTTTAAATGCTTTTAAGGGGGGGGGGGGGAATACAAGTTGAACACAATATTATTGTGTTAATATTTACCTGTGATAACCATCACATTAAAGGAATTCTTATGCTTTTATAAGTTATAAAAATCAATTCAAAAACACTTTTAAAAGGATGTTAGATTATTGTCATTAAAATCCCATTTTTAAAGTACATGCTTAACTCAGTAGCTAATTGAGTCTTTCATGCACATCAGTAACAGTTCAAGCAAACATACTAGTAAACTATAATAGGTATAGTTTAGGATTCAGTACATACTATATTCTAGAACAGAGGAACAAATCATGATTCACGTACATATACTTTACACTCCCAGTGACCTAGGAAGGGAACGTATCATTAATTCATTTGTTTAAAACAAAATATGATAATACACATGGTATATGGATATATATATATATATATATATATATATATATATATATATATATATATATATATATATATATATGGGGTGCATCTACAAAGTAACGGGTTATATATATGGGGTACATCTACAAAGTACCGGGTTATATATGGGGTACATCTACAAAGTACCGGGTTTTATTTAAAAATGGTACATCTACAAAGTACCAGACAATAATAAATAAAACATAGCGATATATAAAACTCACAACAGTATCGATCGAGGCGTTTAGAGTACTAGTTTTCATTACTTCTAGTAGTCTTCCTAACCAATAGAATAGTGCCACATAACTTCCTAGTAACATGAACATTCAGTTAGAAGGGGGCCTATAATGCTAACTTTATGATTCCTTGGTGGATACATTAGGGATATATATTAATTAGATTCGACAGGCAGTAGCATGTGTGCTTTCCGTTTCATTTCCTGTTCCTTGTTTGGTTGTGGGCTTAGAGTAGATTCACACAGTCTACTATCTATTCGATCTTGATATATATATATATATATATATATATATATATATATATATATATATATATCCTGTATACACCAAGTAATCATAGGGAGTAACAGGTATGGGCTAGGTCACATCATACAAATTCAGTATACCACTTTCTAGTACAAAAACATACTTTTCAGATAGAACATTAAGTAGGTGAAACTAGAAACTTATTTGTAAATGTTTGATACGCATTATTAAACCAGTATAACTTAAAGGACCTTAGGTGGTTAATTCTATAATACCTTAGTTTATACATCATGGTTATATATAATTAATATCTTATAGGCAGTTGAATGTGTGTTTTCCGCCTCTTTTCCTGTTCCTTGTTTGGTTGTGGACTTAGGGCAGATTCATACATTTAACTGTCCGTTCGATATTAGATTATATATAGCTAATATAAAGTAAGTGATTATAGAATGAACTATTGTGGTTACCATTTTTACGAAAGGAAATATATGATTTTCTTAAAGAATGTTTTCATCAAATATAAAAGAACTATTACAGTTAACTCCGTAAGTAGCAAATGAATACGCCAGGGTTATATACAATGAAGATCTAACAAACAATGGAATGTGTGACTTCCGCCTCATTTCCTGTTCCTTGTTTGGTTGTGGGCTTAGGGCAGATTCACACAATCGATTGTCTGTTTACTCTGGATTGTATATAACTTGTATCCATTTAGTACTCATAGAAGGAATTGTAGAGTCATTTTTACTTATCATTCATCACATCAGAAAATATAGGGTTTTCTGGAGGAACAGGCGAACTTTTCTAAAGAACTTATAGGTTACTTTTCATAACTAAAATACTTATGAACTCACCAGCTTAAATGCTGATCTACTCTTTTAAAATAACTTGTATTCTCAGGAAACTAGTAGACATGTACACGCTCAGGGATTCAGAAGATGGAGCATAGTAGCTTCATGTCTTGTTTTGTTATTTACTTTGGACTCAATCTTTTGTGAATCTAATACATTGTAAACACTTTAATATTAATGCAATGGTTGTTTGTTACTTTGATTACTATGATGCATGTGTTGTGATACTACATATGACGTCCTCCGCCCCCGAACGTTTCCGCCATTCCGGTTTGGGGGTGTGACAGGGGGGGGGGGGGAATACAAGTAACACACAAGAATATTAACGTTAAATCACAAACATTTAAATACGTTATTTTACCATTCTTAGGAAAAGTGTTAAATACACGAAACGGTTTTACTACCAATCGCATATGATTTCACGAACAACATTTTGCTAAACATTACATTATTCATACAAATATATATATATATATATATATATATATATATATATATATATATACATATATATATTTCGAGTACAAAACATTCATTTCATCAAAACTTTACAAATATAGTTTACGAAACTTTACCCCTTTGTAACTCGTTGAGTAAAGGGTAAAAATTATATAAAGTACATATGTAATTGTTTTATGATATTTTCGACGTTATCCTGGAAATATGGGATAATGTCATTTACAAACGTTTTCATTTCAAAAACACGTACACTCGTTGAATGGAAATTGTGAGACATTGTCTTCACCGTACCTAACTGAGGTATATAAGAAAGCCCTGTATTTATAACTGGAATCTCCGATACGAGAGCATGATACTTGTTTATAGATCTATACGGGACTGATGATCCCACACCCTGGTTGTTAGCTACAGCCAGACCAGCAGGTTATGGTGACAAATGTCATAAATATTTCGGCGCTTGAAGAACGACAAGGCAGGCACCACATCTTAAAAGCACGGTTATAAAAACTCACATAGTGAAACGACGATACATTTATTTTACACGGAAACACACTACTTCAAACGGTTTATATACAAATAAAAATACATATTACTAGTTTAATGTATGGAAAACACTGGTACATTTCGGTTTTGGAACTTTTACAGCTTACATCTCATTCATTAGAAAATATCGGATTTTCTGTAGTAAACATTATCATTTTACAAGGAAACGGCTTACATCTCATTATTATAAAATATTGGATTTTCTGGAATAAACATTATCATTTTTCAAGTAAATGGTTTACATCTCATTCATTTGAAAATATTGGATTTTCTGGAACAAACACCCTTATTTTACAAGTGAACGGCTTACATTTCATTTATTAGAAAATATCGGATTTTATTGAAACAAATACGATATCTTTTCACGGAAAGGGTTACTATTTTTCACAACTAAATCTTATGAACTCACCAACTTAAATGTTGACACCTTTTCAAACAACTTGTATTATCAGGAAATCAGTAAAACAGGTAAACACCATCTTTTGAAGATGGGGCGCTAAGGCGTCAAACAAGTCTTTTTGTCATCATATTGTAATTGACTTTTGAAACATGTAACACTTACAATGATGTAACTTTTTCAAATATATATATGATGGTCATGTTTGCTTTCTTTTCTATTATAGAACTGTTATGATACAATACATGAAAGTCATCCAACCCCGGACGTTTCCGCCATCCTCGTTTGGGGGTGTGACACAAATGATGATCGAGGTTAGTGGATGAAAAGGCTAACATGGAACTTTCAACTTTGGCACATGCAAGTATCAGGTACAGGAATCATTTAAAAAAAATTATTGTTGTTCTTACTTTATAGCAATTGAGTTTTACTGATTTAAGGTCATTTTCTTCCTAGCTGTTCTTTCATAACAGCCACTTCAGATGGCACTAAACACATTGGTATATAACTCAACACGATTGCAGAGACCAAGAGCTATTTCTTGGAGATATAGCTATGTGTTGTAATTTTGTTTCCTACACCAAAAGAATGAAAAACTATTTGTCTGAATATCACTCACTTGTGAAGTTATTAATTCCTTATATACAAGGGTTTTCAATTCATAATATGATGTTAATATATGATCATATATAAGTTTATTTGCATCATTTCTACCAGGTCATGTTGGACATTGTAGGTCCAGAGTTGCATATTGTCAACAAAACTGAGCATCCTATTTCTCTGGAAGCAGAAACCTTGGTCATTCTCACACCCGATCAAGAAAAAGAAGCCACTTCCAATCTTTTACCAATAAACTTTAGTGGGCTTTCAGAGGTAAATAACTATGTTGATATTTTTAAGGCTGATTCAGAATATGAGAGCTTTTGTATAAAATTTATAATATTTCTTGAACTTCTATGTTTACAAGCAGTGAAAACTGGTGATACAATTTTCATCGGTCAATATTTGTTCACAGGAAGTGAAACAACTTTAGTATGGTTGGAAGTAAGGCAAAATTATAACCTTGGATGATTTGCAAACTATCAAATTTTGATTTATTATACACAGGTAAATGAGGTGAAAGGAGAGGATGTTGTTTGTTTGATAAAGAATTCTGCTACTCTATCCGGTTCGTTATTCACCTTGCATGTATCCCAAATACGTATTGAGCTGCCAACTCTGACGGATAAAGATAAGGAGGTAAAGTTTCTCTTTTGTGATTCCATTAGATGTTTCTTATCATATACTCATTTAAGTTGTAAGATTTATGGAAAACTGTAGGTTATTAGCACATAGGGAGTGCATAACTAAAAAATTAAACATGTTTAAAAAACCGAGCAAAACCAAAATAAGAATATAATAAAAAAACAGTATATCTTCTCATTTTAACAACTAAAATTACAATCTTCTCCATTATTCTTGTGATTCTATCATGCAGGCTCGTGACTACCTCTCCAAATTGGGTGATCTAAGTCAAACTCAGATTTTTGCAAAGATAGAAAATTTTGAGGTCGTATGCCCACATTTTTCAAGCTGTATGTAATCAAATTGTCTCTTGTGTTAGGGCTGAAATACATATGTATATTGGTTTTTATTGTAGGGACTTACCCATTTTGATGAGATGCTACAAGAAGCAGATGGTATAATCCTTTCTCGAGGAAACCTTGGCATAGATCTACCTCCAGAAAGGTTCATTTTATAACTCAAAACTTTAAGATTAAAAGAAGTACTGCTCAATTAGAATGAAAAATTTTTTAGACCATAATTGATGTGATCATGCGAAACCTTGAAATAAGGACCAGAGTTGAGAAAAAGTTTTGAATATGGACCAAACACAGTAAAAATCAGTTTTTTAACCAAAATACCTCCACCCCAATACATGCCATGTAGTTACCATGTTTTATGTTGTCTTGATAGGAAGTAGTTTTGGTTTTTTACCAATAGAAATCTCAACCTTACTTTCAGTTGTTCTTGACTACCATGTTATTGTTGTTTTTATTTTTAACGATTTTACCCCTGATAGATTTTGAACCTTATTCCTAAACATGTGGTTACCATGTTTTATGTTGTTTGATTTGTAATTTGTTATGTAAATGAAGGTCTAGTGGTGGGGATAGAGATCAATGCATTAATCATGAAGGCCTTGCAAGTTTTCTAGGTTTTCTAGAAAATTGTCATTGATGAGAAAATATGTAGAAGAATGTGAATATGAGTTGCAGAAGGTTGCATTTTCAGTTGTTAAGGAAGTAGCAGGTAGCAACATACTTTTAATTTTTTTTAATTTGGAACAAAATGCGGGAAATAGCAACATATTTACATTCTTTATACATATATATAGCAATGTATTAGCAATTTGTTACTCATAATAGCAACATACTATGTTTTTTTTTAGAAAATTGATTATTTTGAGAAATTTTCAGTTCTAATTTGGTCAATAGACTCTAAAAAGAGTTGACACTGGTTGATTGAAGTTAGTTATAAAATTTTGATGGTTGATTGAACCATTTTCAAGTAGCTGATTCTGGGCATGAATATATGGAATGTGTTAGGTACAAGCTTGTATAAAAAGTGTTGACACTGGTTGATACATCTTCAAGTGGTGAGGTTGCAACGCTTAAAGCTCCATGGATATTGTCAAAGGAGAAATTACTCACGGTGTCCTTTTAATGTACATATTTTATTTTTCTATAATAGATATCATGCAATATTAGCAATGTATTACATTACTTACTATTGGAATGATTATTTGTATTTGACATATTAGTGTCATGAATTATCTTTCTTATTTATTATATTTTATTTTGTATTATGAGACTTCTAATGTGTTTTTTAATTTGAAAATAACTAAATCTATCAAAATATATAATTTTTAAAACATTTAAAATTATGACACGCAAAAATGTGTGTCGTCTTTCTTTATGATAGGGGCTTTAATGATACGCAATGCGAGTCGTAAATGCGCGTCGTAAGGTTACGACACGCAAATGCGTGTCGTCTTCTCTATGACAGAGACTTCCTTGACACACATTGCGTGTCGTAAGAGCGCGTCGCAAATGTGCGTCGTAAGGTTACGACACGCAATTGTGTGTCGCCTTCCTTTATGATAGAGCCTTCCTTGACACGCATTTACGTGTCATCTGTGGCTTTTATGACACGCAATGCGTGTCATTAAAGAGTGTTTTTGTAGTAGTGATAACTTAACTTTGATATTATTATTATGAAATCTAACTTATTTATATCATTTGTTGTAGAGTGATACATTGTCGGATGATAAGTTTGGATTCGACTTGAAAGTAAAATACTTCTACAATGTATTTAAAGAGTTTTTAGTCAGAAACAATATTCCACCTTATTTAACTTCTATAGATATGATAATTTTAAATTTAAATTTATCTCTCTCTCTTTCTTTCTATATATATATATATAATATTTGTACATGCGTGTGTGTATATATATATATATATATATATATATATATATATATATATATATATATATATAGAGAGAGAGAGAGAGAGAGAGAGAGGATCGGATGAGGACTCGTGAGGACACCTTAAAAAAATGGAACAAAAATACAAATCATAAAATCGAGCATAGTACTATATCGGAGAAAAAAAATTTTGGAAAAAAAATTTTGGATCATTAAAATTGAAGAATGGATCATTTTTATGATCCATGATTTACTTTTTATGATCTATGATTCAATTTTCATGATCCAATTTTTTTTTATAATTCTATTATTTCTCCGATGTAGTACTATGCTCGATTTTATGATTTATATATTTTTTTTTCAATTATTTAAGGTGTCTTCACGAGTCCTCATCGAAAAAAGAGTTCTCACCGGAACCAGACCTTATATATATATATATATATATATATATATATATATATATATATATATATATATATATATATATATATTAATTTAAAATAACTATATACATATTTTAATATAAAGTTGATATTTTTTCAGGTGTTCTTTCCTATTCATATGGGAAATTATTATTATCTTATAGTTTTTAAGTTTAGGAAACCACGTATGTTTATAATTGACAATATGAGAGTTGGAGGAGACATTTTTGAAAGCTATGGAACTTTTCCTAAAAAACTGATTAATTTATTTTTGAAAAATATATGTACTTTCTTAAATATATTATTTCTAATTAATAATTTTTATGCAGAAAGAACTCTTTGTCAGAAATTTGCATCACATTAGTCATCCAATAAAAGAAAAGCTTCATGACGAAGAAATTCAATTGGTCAAAATGAAATGGCAAACAAAAAGAAATATGAATGATTGTTCCATTTTTGTTATGAGACATATGGAGACTTTCTAGGGTCGTCCAATAACAAAATGACAATTTGGAATATTTCATAAAGAATCGGTGGAACAAATCAAACAAATTAACAAGTTGCGAAGAAACTATGCTACAAAGATTTTGTTGTCCAGTTTAAATGTAACAAATGGATTTTTCTTAGAGAGGGAGAAAATTTTGGTTGCATTTCTTAAGCATCAAAATTATCACACTTAATGAAATCATTTAATGATAGAAATGAGAGAATGACTCTAATTTGAATTTTTGTAGATATGTTTTATGTAATATGTCTTTTGTTTGAAAATATTATAAATCTTTAAATTTTGGATATGATTTTATAATGTTGGATGATACTATATTAAGAGAGTTTTTAGTGAGAAGGAATGTCCCATATAATCTAAAAATTACAGATATTTTAAAATTTTATATTATGTTATGTAAAGTTATGATGTTGTATTGATTTATATAATTAAATTCTATATTATGTTATGTAAAGTTAGGCCCACCCCATGTCTTGTATTATTGTACATAAACGAAACACGAATTTTCCAAATTTTTTTTATATTATGTTAAAAAATAATAAATTTACTTAGTATAAGGAGGCGGAATGTTATATTTGATAAGTTAAAGGGATAAATTGATAAATTTATTTATCATTTTTAAACCCGACTTTAGAGATTCTAATCTCATTAAATTGGGGAAGAAAAGTATAGTGAGTTCAAGGAGGCGGATTTCTTTTGAGAAATCGACAGTCATTTCTACACTCTTGGTTCGTTCTCTTTCGTCTAGATTAATTTCTATTTCACTCTTTTTTTTTAATAATGATTACTAGATTCAATTTTTAGTATTGACGACCTAATAATTTTGAATTTGAGCTCAGTTAAAGCAAATCCATGATAGTTATAATCGTTTTCATACTTCATATATCTTTATCTTCAACATGCAAATTTCAATTTAATCTTAAAACATTTTCATTAAACCCCAGATACTTCAATTAAGCCAAATCAAGATTTGTATATAATAACTTTTATTAAAGATGTAGAAATCTTGGATTTGTTTACATTTCCATAGATATTGGGAACTTGGAAAATTTTCAAATATTGTTTTTTTCTAAAAATAGGAATACGAAATTTTTTGAGGAACTTCATAATGTAAAAGATCATAATTTATAGTTTGATTTATTAAAAAATTGATATTTTGTTATTTAAAGTATTTGCATGTTTGATATTATGGGAAAAGACAAAAAAATGAAGAAAGGTAAGTATACCTATTTTATTTGTAAGAAAGGTAAGTATACCTATTTTATTATGTACAGTACATTTAATAAAATTAAAACTATACTTAATTTTTGTTTTTATTTGTAGATTACATAAAAAAAAAGCGAAAGGATAAAGAGAAAAAAGGGTATTAAATGTAGAATAAAATTTGAATATTATATTTATATAAATTTTTTATGGGATAATAATTTTTGAAATATTGCAGAAGCAGATGAAGAAAATACTGAAAATAAAGTTCAAGGTAATTTATTAAATTTATATGCATATACATATAAGTATAAGTGTAAGAATAATTATATCAATATGCTTATGCATATTGACATGACTATTCATATACTTATATGCATGCTTATGCATATGCATATGCTTATACATATACATATAAGTATAAGAATATACATATGCTTATGCATATACATATAAGTATAAGAATATATATATATATATATATATATATATATATATATATATACACACGAATATAGAAAATCTATATGCATATTGATATAATTATTTTTATACTTATACTTATATCCATATGCGTAACCATATGCATATTCATATACTTATATGCATATGTATATGCATATACTAACGCAATAAATAGTTATGAAATTATGCATATGAATATGCATATGAAAAAGCCAAAGGATAAAGTGAAAAAAAGTTATGAAATTATGCATATGCTTATGCATATGCATATTCATATACTTATATGCATATGTATATGCATATACTAACGCAATAAATAGTTATGAAATTATGCATATGAATATGCATATGAAAAAGCCAAAGGATAAAGTGAAAAAAAGTTATGAAATTATGCATATGCTTATGCATATGCATATGCATATAAGTATAAGAATAATTATATATATGCATATGCATATACAAAATGTATATGCATATTGATATAATTATTCTTATACTTATACTTATATACATATGAATACTTATATGCAAATGCATATAAGTATAAATATAAGAATAATTATATATATGCATATGCATATACATATTAATATAATTATTCTTATATATCTATAGAAAAAGGATTATTTTAGAAAGTTTAAATTTACTGAAATTTTATGGATGTTATAATTTGGTATTAGAGCCTTGGTTTGACTGAATTGGAGGAACACTCGGGTTAATCAAGTCTCAAAATGATTTTCAAATGGGTTTCAAAATAATCAAAAAGGATGCGATGTGTACGATCAGCTGGAGCCAGTAAGTAGAGCCCAAATTACCACACAATTATTTGAGCTTATGATATGTTATGATATGTTAGAACAACATGCTAGTAATAGGCTAGGGATCTTCAGGAAGTGCATGGTAGAATTGTCTGATTATATGATGCCTTAGCCCCTATAGAGTTTTTTGTTCGGATGGTCTGTGACTCTTTCTCGTGTGAACCGGCTATTGAGTGGATACGCTAAGTCACATGCCGCATGGTTTAAAGGATCCTAGGCTGAGAGGTTTGGTCCTGCTGCGCAACTCTCGTCTGAGTCCAACCGTTGTGGGACTGAATCTTTTAACCTAAGATTCTTTAAACAGTGAGGTATGTTATTGTATTCATGCGATAGTCATCTGGCACCAATGGAGGGTCATGTGGCAATTAGTGGTATGGTGAGTCACGTGGGGTTAGCCGGCCAGTCGCGTTATTGGACGAGGTAGCGGTGGGTTCCCTAGGTTGGGCGTGATTCACAGCGGGTCGGCATGAGGAAGTATTGGCTACTCTCGAGAGAGGGAGGGCAGGGCGAAGATGTGCGCAAGGTGCTGGAAATATGAGATTGAGGATTTCACAGGAGGATATGTCTGATCTTATTGCATCTTAGTGCTATTCGGCTTCTCTGCTCGAATGATGTTTGCTTTGTGCTTTGTGAGACCCATGTTGATGAGAGCTAATAATCAAATGAATAAATTAAAATTACATGCTATGAGGGTTAAATAATTTTAGGATAAAGGACTTGGACCTACTGCGCAGCTCTCGTCTGATTCCAACCGTTGTAGGGCTGGGTCCTTTAGCTGAATGATTATTTAAGCCTGGTTGCATGTAATTGTATTCGTGAAGTGGTTAGCTGGCGTCGGTGGGGGTTCTTCAGCAGCTGATGGCAGAGGGGGTGTGGTTGAGTCCTAGGATAGCCTAGGGAGTATTTAGTGCAATTGTTTCACAAAGGAGCAGGTTCATGGGTATTTTATGATTAGGTCTTGGTGGACCAGGGATGATTCTTGAGGACAGTATGGATAGTTGTGGAAGATAATATTGGGCCCGTACTATTGGAAGCACATGATCCATACTCGAATCAAGGAAAATCTCGGGGATTCTAAGAGATGGTCAGGGGAGTTAGCATGGTTGGATACTATGATTCGCGGCAGTGTTTCTAATCCTGCCAATCTCTCGGTTGTGGCCGCTCCGACATGAGGATGGTCCTGGTATTTGGTGTGAGCCCAGTGGTGTTATCGATTTTGGTTGTTTGGTGCAGACCTAGTGAGTTTTGGTTTGAGGCTTCGGGGGTTTTGCTCGAGGTCGGGACGCGAGTCGCGGGACTTAGGAAGGGAGTGATGATTTTGATCAGCTTGAGTTTTGCAGCCGGAAGTAGAATGGTTGATTGACGGATTAGAATGTCGTTTTTAGGGCAAGGGTTGTGCCCTTTTAGTTTTCCGAGTTCGAAGGAGCGAGCAGGCTTGTGAGCCTAGGGCCAGGTTGTATTTTCAGCTCGGGGTCAGTTGGTCACAGGGGCTGGCGGCAGTATTTCAGCACTGGTAAGCGCAGGTGGATCGTTTTGGCATGAGTATTTTGCGAGGCAAGTTAGGTACCATATTCTCGGGTAGGTCGGGTACCAGATTGTCATTGGGATTGCAAACAGGGATTAGTTCATGTGACTTGGGATCGAAGAGGAGTTTTCCTGCGTGCCCTCAGGTGGGTCAGGGTAACTCTGGAGGAGGAAGTCAGGATTTCTTCAAATGCTTTTGAGAGTGTGGTATCTCCAGTACTCTTCGGGATTGTATCGGGAATCGTATTGTGTGGAAATTCTGCTGGATTGGGTAAGTTACATCTCGGGTTGACTTTTGGTTATTTTTGGGTTATTGAGGGTCATTACTTGCCATTCTAGATGCCGGAAGTCTTCAGCCAAAATTCAGGTTTCTGATGGGATTCGACTGCTCCGGATCGGGAGGATCCCTTCGCCAAGGTTAGGAATGATCGTACCTGGTTAAGCCGGGTTGAATTATGGATTAGTTTCGAACCAGTGGGTGGTAGCTAGAACACTAAGTGGGGGAGAATTGGGAATTCTCAAGTTGAGCGTCGGTCATTGAAGGTTTTGTCAACTGTTGCTCGGATTGTTGGTTTCAGAATTATTAGGCAGTTGTTGATCGGTGAACCCTTCCAAGCGGGTAGGTTCGACTCCAGGCGGGTTGTGGTTTCTCTGGTTCGAGTGTCAAGTTGTCCTAGACCATTGGTCGTTGAGTTCTTTATTCAGTGGGAATTCTCCGAAGGATTTAAGTGGTGGCAGTTAAAGGTCAAGGAATGTGTTAGCTACCCTCCTGTTCAGTATATTATATGTTCCTTCGGTCTTCAGGTGTGCTTATTCTCAATGGAGGAATGAGAGCTTGGTTCATAGCATACTCAGGTCTTGGTAACCTTCAGGATCATATTGAAGGCCTGCTCGAGCTAGTGGTGTAGTGATGGAATCCGTTCAGTCTCACAAGTATGGGGTCTTGTTTGACCGATCATGAGGATATTTTCTGTTTTGAGTGAGGTGGCCTTTTCGATCATCTCTGCTATTTCTTTTCTTTTCCGATGAGATTATGGGTTTCTAAAATATGTGTATGGGAGCGCTCCTCGTAAGCTGAGCAAGAGGGAAATGGGGCTCTTGGTTCGAATTATGTACATGGTTCTCTTGGGTTTCGGTTTCCGATGTAGGATCAAGAGTGCAACTGTTATGCTATCTTCGGGTTGTGTGCGACTTGTTTTCGTAAGGTTTTGCTTGGTAGTCGTTCTGTGGTGCTCAGTTGGCATTGTAAGGGAGTCGATTAGGTCCTTTCGAAGTATCAGGAAGTATTTATGGGAAGTATGCATATTGTTTCCATTGGTTCGCAAGCTGTTGTCAAGATTTTGAATTTCAAGTTGGGGATTGGTCGGGAGGTTGCAAGTCATAAAGTCCTTTATGAGAGTCTCGAGTGGTTTGCCCATGTGGGGGTACACTTGAGCCGATAGAAGTTTGTTGTATTGCGGGAATTTTTGGGCCTGAACATCTTTGGTCATCAAGGCAGTGGTTGGTAATGACATGTCATGGGTCGAGTGTTTTAGGGTTGGGTGCGCCATATGGTTTGGTTTTGGGTAAGGTTCGCGATCAGTGTGTTTGAGGATCATTTCCACACGTTTTTGGTAGTGTCTCCAGACTGGAACTGGGGGTAGATTCATTATTAGATTCTCATCAGTTGAAGGGAAGGGTCTTCAAGAAGATTGTGAGTGGCATTTTCGAGTGGGTATTTGGTGGAAACTTGCGTTAGACAATCGCGAGTGTATCCCTGCAATGCCTGTATTCTAGAAGACTGTGAGAAAAGTGGAGAATCTTTTGGTTTGTGGGATGAGTCGCGAGTTCCAGGAGAAAGGTGTAATGTCATCGATGGTGAAATCGAAGGTTGTTGGATTAGAATGTTCTTGTCTTCCGGGTTTTCGGGAACTTGGTGGCTGGACCAGGTGTGAGACTGGTAGTCTCAGCGGCGGTTGAGGAAATATTTGTATCCATGTTTAGCAAGTTGTTGCGTTGGATCAGAAGATTTGGGTGAAATGCAAGGGCATGACCGTGGATCTCGGGTTATGAGTTTAAACACGAGTTATGTATATAATGGTGTTCCAATCTAGGGTATTCCATCCCGAGGATGACCGGACCCTATGATCGATTGGACCTGACATGTTTGGTATTCCAACCCGAGGGTTGATTGGGCCAAACATGTGCACGATACGATGGTATTCCATCCGAGGGATGACTGGACCCGTCGTGGGCATGCCTGGTATTCCAGCCCGAGGCTGATTGGGCCAGGTATGAGTGTTTGCGCTTGTTAGTTGGTTGTTTTATGTATGTTGGTTCGGGAGCTAAAGGAAGCCTTATTCTATCAGCACAAGAAGGGTTCAGCACCCAGTTTGCCTCCCGTTGTTCATCTTATCCCTAGAATGTCGGTCATTGAATGAGCTATCTCTCGAAAGAATATATAATCTATTTTCCAGCAGAGAATTATCGGCAGCCGCGTATGATCCATGATTTTGTTCTGGCGAGAATTTCAGGTTTTCGGGGTGTGATCCGCTTCAGGAAGAAGGGAAATTGGGTCGCCGATATATCGGGCCATTTCGGATTTGGCCAAGGTTGGCAAGGCGGCGTATCGACTGGATCTTCCGGGGGAGCTCAGTCAGATTCACAACACTTTCCATGTTTCACAGTTGCAAAAATGCGTGTCGGACGAGGATGTCGTGGTATCATTGGGTGGTCTTCAGGACGATGAGCGCCTGAACTACGTCGAGAGGATGGTGGCTGTCTTGGAAAGAAAGGTAAAGGTTTTACGTAGCAAGTAGATACCTTTGGTAAAGGTACAATAGGCAGCATCGGAGGGGATCCGAGTAGACTTGGGAGCCGGAGGCTGGGATGCAAGAGCATTATCCGGATTTGTTCACTGCAGCAGGCCTCGAGGACGAAGCCTAGTTCAAGTGGGGGAGAGCTGTAACATCCTGATTTCCAGGAATGAAATTTAGGGGTTTGTGCACTTTAGAAAGTCTACTCGACGAGTTGGAGGCCCCAACTCATCATGTAGAAACCAAGAAGGGACGCGTACTCCGTAGAACCTACTCGACGAGTTGGAGGACCCAAATCGACGAGTTGGAGCGGATTATGAAAACCCTAATTTTTAGGGTTTGCACCCTATTTAAAGATCCTTAAGTCCTCCCTCCAGCCTCCCTTACCTCCTTCACGACCAGAAACAAACCCTAATCGTGCTAACCTTCTATTTTGAGTGTGTGTGAGGCTAAAGAGTGTGTGTTTGATGCATTTCTTGAAGAGACTTGAAGATTGAGAAGCTTGGAACGAGAAGGAGCTTGTAGATCCCGCATCTACTTCGTTTTTGCATTCATTTGAAGGTAAAAAGTCATTACCTTGAT